ATATATATATATATATATATATATATATATATATATATTATGAAAGATCATATTTTGGGAGATAGGGAATAGAATATTAGGATGAAGTGGTTGGTGAGTGGGGAGGATGGTATAGTGGGAGAACTATGAACGCCATTAGGGTTAGTAGTTGGGAAGGATGAGGAAGGCACTGCAGTGGGAATCGTGGCTTGATCGATGGAGTCAGATGAGGAGGCACTGTCTTTGGTTTTGTAGTCTTTGAGGCAGCATTTAGCCTCCATTACTCGGATAATTCCAAGGTGACATGATATTGATGTGACATTTCACGAATCATTTGCATACACATACATCATGCACTCCCGACATATTATAATAGTTATTTATTGTTATTTGGAGTAAGAGACCATGATACCAATTTGATAATCATGTAAGTGGAGATGCCACCAAGATGATGAACACAAGAGTTTGATTCAATCTTTCATGTCTATCCTATATATAACTAAGAGGACTAAAATAGGAAATGAAAGCGAAGTTGATCTCTTGGGAGACTTATTCACGTTAGATTTATCTCTTGAATCGATCCCTTCCATAGTCATGATCTTAAATGATTCTTAACGTGAAAAGTATTTTTCATTAATTATGATTGAGATTTGTTGAATTTTATATAATAATTTTTATCGATATTGATGAAGTAGATATTCTTAATTCAAATCTATGATGCTTAAAAGGAATAAGCACTTTAGCCCTTTTCTTAAAATATAATACTTCTAGTGGATGGAGGAGATGATAGTGATAAATCTGATAATGAAACGATATTAAATAACATTTAGCAATTCCATTCAATGGAATGCATACGAATCTATTTTAAAGCTCATATTTAATGCAAATTAGAGTAGAAAAGATATCATTTTTTTACTGTGGCTAATAATGACTAGTTTAAATTTCATAAAGAATACATGAAATTTACTATTTGAGAACAATCAAAAGAGAATATTATTTGAAAAAAATCTAAAATAAGAGTTTTTTTCTAAGGAAATCACCAACATTAAATCTTTTTTTTTTCTTACCACTAGAACGATCTTTACCAAAAGATTTATATTAAATCTCTTTCGAATAACCTCTATCACCTTAACTGATTTGCGTTAATATTTATATCTCACTCATTTAATAATCATGGATGAATACTCATCGTATCGACATTAAAAGTCGATTAGATTCGAGCGATCTAAACTCTCCATCCTTAATTTAAAAGTTAATCCAAGTCTAATGATTTGTTCAACATTTAAATATTCCATGCATGTGATCTATCACATCTAAACCAAGTTCGGTATTATACACTATAGTTCAAACATTACGAATTGTTATTGTTATTATTATGTATGATATAATTCTTTTTTTTATGAAAGATAAATAGGGAATATTACGATAAACTATCAAAATCATTACTATCTAAGATAGCTAACACATAATATTTAGTCACATATAAATCTCATGGTACAAATCTTGATGGTGTGATAAGGAAAGAACACATAAAAAAGACTTAACTCATATATCCATTAAACAAGCTCCAAGTATTGTTTGTGGGGCTTGCTATCAATAATCATGTGCTAATCATCCAACAATGGATGTAGATTTAGAGTACTTAAAACAATTATTGAATCAAATTGGTTCATAAATTAATGTTGGAGGTGGATTTATTTTTTTTGGTGCCATATGATTGCGTTGTGAAAAGAAGATGTTGGTGGCATTAAGTAATCATCATTCACGCACAATAATTAATACAAGTGTCGGCTTCGTGATTCGATACAAGAAAATAATAATAATAATAATAATAATAATAATAATAATAATAATAATACATTGGATTCTAATTCACACGGCACCCAATAATAAGATTAAATTAAGTTAGAAATTTGATATCGGAAATTCTAATTCCAAAACAAATTAATTGGATGTCTCGTATTTGATGATCTGAATTTTTATGGACACTTACTAATTTTTAATGCCTATATCCTATATATTTAAAATCTACACGTAAAACATCAATCATTTCAGTATCATATAACTCTAACGTACATTGAACATTAGTTTTTACAATATTTTTAAATCTCAAAATAACACAAGATTAGATGAGACTTTCCAACAACATAAAGCTTATATGTTATGTTTTACATTAGAAAAAAATATTTTATTTTCTATAATTTTTTATGACATTATAATTATGATGTGCTCATACATACATACATACATACATACATACATACATATATATATATATATATATATATATATATATATATATATATATATATATATATATATATATAT